ATAAACGAAAAAGCGTTTTAAAGGGGAAGATTCCGCGCTTCTAACGATCGTTCGTCGGTTCACCGGAAGTTAATATCTTCGAAGTTATAGCGGTTCAAAGTTTTCCTAATTTTAATACGATTTAATAGCGCGTTTTAAAGGTAAACGGTTAAAAATTATCTTTTCTTTACAGGATAATATCTCGAGAACCGGAAGTCGTATCGAGATAAACGAAAAAGCGTTTTAAAGGGGAAGATTCCGCGCCTCCAACGATCGTTCATTCGTTCACCGGAAATCATTATGTTCGGAGTTACAGCGGTTCAAAGTTTTCCTAATTTTAATAGAATTTAATCGAGGCTTAAGATAAATTATGCGACGACAAATGATCGTGTTCAATTATATTTTAATCAATGGATATCCGAAGCCGAATAAACTTGTGCAAAACATACGTAATATAAAAAGATATGCATAAAAATCGGCCGATCCATTCGTGACGTTACGAATGACTTTTCTCAATAACTAACTAGCGAATGAATTGAAGAAACGAATATAACGAATAAAAAATATGAATAATGATTAAAAAAGAAACGTATGATATGAAAGATTCAAAGATATCTCGATTTCATATTAAAACGCAGAACGAATTTTCAAATTCAAATTATGAAAAAATTTTTCCTCCATTTTATCATCCGTATTAACCATCCGTTTTTCGTTTCCATTTACGTTCCACCGATAAAGGTTTTGGATTACGAACGACAGAAGGTTAAAGACAGGGCGCTCGAAACGAAGTATCGGATAAACCGCGCGCGCGAACGGAAGTCGAGTTTCTAATTAAAACCGGATGACCCGTAGAAACAGTCGGTCGATGGTGTTCGATTGTTGGTCGCATACCTATCGTGACCCAAAGTCAGGCAACCGGAACCCCAAGATCGTAAAGCAGTAAATTGAACCGCGCTCACGTCTCGTCTACGAAATGGCTTCGACCAGAAAACGCTTTGCGTAATCGGGAGGAACAGTATTTCACCCACGTTTCCAACCACGAGATGATATCGATACTTTGTCATCTCACTGTTTCAACGTCACGGATAATTTAATTGTCCCCTTGAATGGTAGAGAAAAATAAAAGAGAAATCAAATAAACGAATATTAAATCTCATTAAGCAAATTGTGCGTCGCTTTTCTCGAACAAATTTGATATTATTCCTACCCCATCTCTTCTTTTGTCATTCTTTATTTACAAAAACCCTTTCTATATCTAGATTCTAATTTAATAAGGAAGAAACTCTTTTTCTCTTAATTAATAACGCATTACGAATTCGAACTAGAGTAAAGCTAAATCTTTTTCGAACGAAGCCAGCCCTTCGATTCGTGACTTTAAAAAGCCAATTTTTCTGAAAGGGGCCATCGCATTCGCGTTCATTAAATCTATTTGGCTTACGTGACAAAAACCGATCCGAGCGAAACAATCTCCACGGGGCGAAACGAGGTCGAGCAGTACTCCTTCTCGGGCAGTTTCGAGCGAAGATCAAACCCGGGTTTGATAAAGAAAAAAAAAAAAAGAAAACGGATTATATACACGTTCCCTCCACGCTCGCCGTCCCCTTTATGCGGTTAAAGTCGATCCACCGTAAATCCGGACGACGTGAATTCGACAACGCGCAATTCTGAGGGTGGCTGGGTATTACCACCGTCAGATCTGTTTAATCGTTGTCTAACGCCCGTTGTTCTAATGCCTCAGGAACCTAGCTAAAGGAAACCCGGCTGTCCTTACGACCGTGTTTCACCGGAGAGCAAAGCCGTTTCGATCCGTTTTCCCCTTTCCATAAGATTAAATCGAGATCAAACCGATCGAGATGTAACCGTCGAAGAATTATTCCAACGCTTGAAATTTGTGAATTTTATTTCGTAACTTTGTGAATTGAATCGTATTTAAGCAGACGTAATAGTTTCGAAGAAAATTGTGGAAATTATTTTTACTTAATTGGACGTTTTGTAAATGTGAAATCAATATTCAAACACAGCTCGTTCTTCAAATCGATCTTCCAATTTCAAAAAATTTCAACATCAGAGAGAATCACCTTTTATTCTAACTAATTCATTCCGATAATTCCCCTTTATTCGAATATTATACACTTGTCAAATTTCCACGATCTATAATTCGATCTACAATTCGTTGAGAAAGAAAAATATCTTGATTGCGTTAAAATTGATACGCGATATTAAAAAAAATTAGAAAAAACATATATTTCTTTCGACAATTCTTATTTATCCACGCTCACTATCCACAAGTAAGCGAGAAAAGCTCGAGAAATTTGAACCGTTTCAAAAATTGCATCCCTTATTTATAATCCCTCCCCTATTCGTCGAAAATGCTCTATTTAAAATGTTCCTCTTTAATACGTATTCGTCCCCACGAGCAATTTCATTGACCGTCCGGCTCGCGCGTCACCAACCTGTTCAAACATCGAAGGCGACAAGTGGGGCCATCATCGGCGACAATTTTGTTTAATCGCCGTCTAATGCCCCTAATGTCTCGTTCCATATACCTTTGTCGGTCTAAGGAAATTACACCTCGCCCTCCTCCCCCTCCCCCTCCCCTCGGTGTAAGACATATCGAGCGTTAAAACTCGATTCCTATTACACGAGGGATTTCATCCTGATCCGGCTTTGACATCTGTACACAACCACGAACGACGAGATGCTCGGGAGCGCGACAATTCGAATCTGGGTTGAACGCGAGTATTTATGGGGAGGGGATCGAGCGCGGCCGTCGAAACAAACGTTGGAAAGGCTAATCGAGTTTCAGGAGGGGGAGGAAGGGTTTTCATGGCGGAGCAAACGAACAACCGTGAGTATTCGCTTTTGGAGGAAATTCATCCTTAAAATTTTTTTTTTTTTTTTCTTTCCTTCTTTTAATCGAGATTTAAAAGAGCACGAAATACGATAATAAAATATCTTTCCTCTTCGAGAAATCGATCGAAGTTTCAATATGGGATGGGATAACGTTTTAAATTCACGAATAATTGTGAAATTGTACACGAAACTCGATGAAATGTGAGAACCTCTCTCAAAAAGAAAATATTACACGGAATAATAAAAATTTTCGTTACAATTAGGATTTTTAGAATCTGTCTACTTGTTGCTCGCTCGTGCTAATATTATAGTTCGAAATAGTTTGCGATTGGAAAATTTTTAAAAAAGGAACCTAACGAAGAATTATTATATATGTATATATATATATGTATTTATTTTCATGAGAAACCTGTGCACACCTCGTGAGCTTATTACGACATAGACCGCCACTGTTTAATGAAGATTTCTCTGCACATACCGCATTCGAGATCTACGCATTCCACGCTAATCAATAAACAGCAATGATTATTGAAGGTACGCATTCGTCCTCAATTATAGCGATCTCTGGTAACATACGCGGATGCCGGAATAATTGCTTCATTGAGAAATACAGATCGGTATTTCTCAGCTTAATACGCCATCATTTCTACCCTTTGTCGATGGAATTTTTGCCCGTTCTCCGGTTACTCGGCTCGGCTCCAACGTTAAAAACTGTTAATTATCGTGTTCGATACGAGACGAGAGTACGCTAACGTTGTGACATTCCTTTCTCGTATTCTCCGCGGAGAAAAACGATTATTAAATTACTTTTCCAAGTCAATTCCATTTCTTAACAACGGACCTTTTCTTGCAAATAACGATCAGAGGTATATATAAAATACAATTTGAGACAATTTCACGAAGAAGTTTGGGAAAATAGGAGTTACAATTTAAAACATCCTTTAAATTTTCATAACTCGAAATTAAAGGACAATACCAAACGTTGAAACGTTGAATGGAACGTCTAAAATATTTCCAAAAAAAAGAAAAAAAGAAGAAGAAGAAGAAGAAGAAGAAAGGGAGCATTTATACGCACGGTGCGCATCGTGTTCAAAATCATTTATCCGGAGAATTTTATTTCCACCTGGAGCCGCCTCAAAGCCGCAGTGTTGCTCATTTGCATGAGACAGCCTCGCCGCGGAGAGGATCAACACGAGGAGGAGTACACGCGGAAACTGCGACAGCCCACACAGTTTTTCAAACGAATATCAGAGGAAACGTGGAAGAAATTGCATATAATTTTCAATAATTCTAAGGGAAGAGAATTCGCTTGGAACGTAATTTAATCAAGTGTATCTGCACATCTCCTGGCCGATGCTTTAATTCAACTTTCGTCCCTGTCTACCACTACTACCATCACCAACTCACCAACGCAAAAAGCATCAATGGCTCGTTCGTTCGTCCTTCTTCTTCTTCTTCTTCTTCCTTTTTTCCCCTTTTTTCTCCCTCTCTCCCTTTTTTCAATCGGCAAGCGTTGTATATTAAACTCCTGTTGGTCCTCTCGTAAAGTTACCGTGACGAGGCGGTACAAGGCGTTTTATCGTCATCCAACAAAGGCTACTCCCGGGACAGAATGGGATACTTTGATCGTTTCAGTTTTAGCCGGAGGTGCACGGTGGCAGGATAAAGAGAAAAGGCGAGGTCTATACCGATTTACCCGCAGAAACTACACGACTGACTCGCCACTTAATACACCGTAATCCTTTTTAATTAAATGCTCCTTCGATCATCCCCCGGTAACAATCTAAAAAGCAGGGGGGGGAGGGGGGGTAACGTGGATTTTCAACCACGAATGAACCTCGGTTAGGTCTGTATATCGCACGACCGAGTGGAATAATATTTTAAAAGAGATCTCCTCGTCCTTGTTGCTTTTCTTTCGAGAAGGAAGAGTGCACTACGTGGTGTGGTCGTACACGATACGATTGATTATACGTTTACTGGTATTTTGCGTTCGTATTTATTCGAAATTTTCACAAACGGAGGGAAGTTTGCCGATCAACGTTGAATCGTGCGAAATTGATTCGAACGTTGTTAAAATTTTAAAAAATTAATAATTGATAATGTTGCGAGAAATAGGAATTAAGGTATAAGATAATTGTAAAAAAAATTGTATGGTGGAAAACACTCACCGTAACCAGTGTCTCTTTGTAACCGGCGTGTGGCAGCAAATGGCATCGTATTGATCGGCGATCCAAACGATCAGTATAATGTAAAATGCGGTCGTGGTGTCGTTGAAGAATTCTGACATGATTGCCTCCATTCCTGAAACAATCGTACGATTTATTCTTTATTAGTAATTAAATCAAATTTATCTCCAAAATATTTTCTTTTATATATATATATAAGTTTGACGAATATAGAGATGTTACATGTTTTTAGAGATAAAGAATAAAAAAAAAAACTTGGGTCGATTGAAATATACGAAAAGAAGGGGCGCAGAGGAAGAGAGGAGATTAAAACCAATTAGAAAATTATCGACGTTAAATCGTATTTCCGATACATAACGAACGACATTCTCGAATAATTAACGACAATTTTATCCGCGAAGATTTCGAGCTAAATCCTTCCCGACGCAAACCTTTTCTTCCCTTTTCCCTTTGCTGGGAGGGATAGTGCGCGTACTAGTCGTTAATTGAAGTAGCTGCGTTTGAAAATTTAATTCGAACGAGGAAGAGAGGCTCGGGGTGGAGGAGGAGAGGTTGAACAGGAAATTTTCTTTGTCCAAGCGATTTAATAAGGTAGACGATGTTTCTCTTAGATCCCGCCAGGCTTGACATTAAGTCGCATAAACAACTGGGATTATTATTAATTTGCGAAACGAGTCGTTTGAGAAAAAGAACGGGAGGTTGATCGAAAGAATGACCGATAATTAACTGATATATCTATCGCGCGACACTAGCGCCGCCGTGACACTTAACTCTTAACCAATTTCATTGCATGACGTTCGCATTCGCCACAAGTTGCATTCAATTTTCTTTCATCGATAACTTTATTAATTCTTTGACATTTGTTACAATGACGATATTTTTTACAAGGGACGAACAACTATTATTAAAATATTAAAACCAGGCGAACGAGGTTAACAAATCCGTGTTCGATGGAGGGGTAAAAAAAAAAAGAGGAGAACTTTTTCGCAAATATCGAATGCATGCTTCATGGTAATCGATACCGGCAATCGTTCCCTATCAAACCAACATCTCTGTCCTATTAATCGAATAGTTTCCGCACAATTAAAAGTTGGCTGCACAGAGTACAATACCTCCGCGGCCCGTGTAAATTTAATACCCTCCCCGTTTGACCATTATACACCGTTAAAACGATACGTTACAACGCGCCGCGCCGTTTTTATTGTTTCCCAGGCGTTGAACGTTAAATCTCACTTATCGGTTGAAACATCGGCCAAGTTATTCCGTTCGAAAACCACTCTTCTCTCTCTCTCTCTCTCTCTCTCCCCCTCCATCCGTCAAACTAGCCGTGAACCAGAATTCAGATAGCAATTGTATCGAGCACGATTGTCGCACTGTCGCGTTTGCAACCGTGTTTGAATTTGAAAAAAAAAAACGTAACGGAACGCAACGACCTTCGCTTCTTCGAGGATAATCGAGGAAAAAGAGATACATTCATTTTTTTAAATTATTGATAAAAAAATATCTTGCATCGTTTGAATGGGAAATGATCGATTTACCGCGAATTTTGTTGGTTCAAGGTTTGGAGGTTATTATTGTAACGGAGAGTCGAGAGCATTTAAAGACGAAGAATTAAGATCTGAACCGGTGTGAAAAGCAATTCGACGAAATTTACTTGGAAGAAGTATTTTACACGCGTAATATCTCTCTCATATTCTTCGCGCAAACTGTTGCGAGAGAAGAATCCTTTGAATTCACATTTGAAGAAAAGAAAAGAAAGGAAAAATACCAAAGATTGAAATTACGAGTGTTAAAATTTTTCGGTATAATTTCAACTGGAACAGTTTCGTGTACAAAAAAAGGAAAGAGGAACGCGAAGGAAATCCTCGGTTGAAACTTTCTAGAGAAATTTAATATAAATTTCCTCCCTCTCGTGTTGGTTCGCCTAGAAAAATATCGCGTCGGGAGCATTGTCCGTGGTTTTAAAAAATTAAAAATATATCATATCAAGGTAAGGCGGGCAATTCAAATTAATTTCATAATATTTTTGCTCGTACGAAATTTTCGACCGGATTCGGATGGATCGTGGAACGTGTGTTGGGGAAGTTAATGCGTTTCGAGGAAAGTATAGAACGCAATGTTGTTCGGCTAGCGTGTTTCCTAATGAATTGTAACGATATGAAAACCTCCCCCGGGGACCGAGCGGAAATAATAAAAGTATCCCAGGGTGTGTCGTGGCCAGGTCACGAAAGTGCAAAACGACCAACCGAACCTAAAAATATACCGTTCCAACGGTGATTAATGACAACGGTTGAAAGTTTTTCTGCCCCGCTGAAAAATCGTTGGCGATATTTCCTCGATTAATTCGAGACTCTGGCCGAGAACTCGCCGGTGTTTAAACAAATTTTCAAGAAATCTTTTTTTTTTCTTTTTTTAGAAATCTTCTATCCTCATCAAGAATCGAATAACGAAAAGTGCTTTAGCTTCCCTATTGTGCAACATCCGATTAATTATTATTATATTCGTATTTCATGTAATAATACCGTGAAAATATTAAATGTCCATTGTTCTCCTTGGCAAAATTGTTGTTAACTATTCTTAATAATATCAACACGTAAACCAACACGATTATGATTAACTTCATCATTTTACGAATAAATCACGTGGATATATTCATAATAACGCATTGTGTATTGCTGGTAATAACGGGCGTAATAATAGTAAATTCGTAGCTTAGAGATTTAGCATAATTAAACCGATTGGCAACATTCAATTAACGCTTCGTAAAATATTTCGATATAGATAGAAGTACGAATTCGAAAATGTTAAATAGCCCGAATAACTTGAGAAATTCTATTCTCAAACAAAATTAATAAACGTAGATCATTCGATGATAAATGTAAGGAAACAACATTTCGACATATAGTTTATCCACGTAAAATTACTACGAACGAAACTAAATATTCTTAATAATAAAAAGAACCATCTCTAAAATTTTAAACTGAGCTTAAGAAATCCAATCCGCAGGATCGATAGAAACGACTCGTTAAAATAAATATAATATACAAAGCAGAAAGAAAAATCTAAAATTAACTCGGCAAATCGAGCAATTGAATCTGACCTGTTCGAGTTTATTCGACATCGACGTTCGAAATAGTTGTACTTACATAAAGTACACGTGAAATACACGATATTAGAGGAAAAGAAAACATATATATCGAACAAAAGGTAGAGAAATACAGTGACAATGGATGAAGGGACTTCACAATGAAAAGGATGAATGGTTGGTGGAGTGCAGGAGGAGGAACGAGCTCGGATAATTAGTTTCTTGATCGGACACTGGGCGACAAAACAAGAAGAAAACAAGACGAGTTGAATACTAACGAGTATCCTGCCAACAGTTTGCACCCCCAAATGTGCACGACAAGACGATATACAAATACAAATCGACGCTCGAGCGCGCAACGTGTGATGATTTGAAATAACAACGGGGGAGATGACAATTTGCTTGTCTGTAATTAAAATAAATAGTTGTAAACTGAAAATAATACAATTACAAAATCGATTGGAATTTTCTTTCTGACGATATCTTTGAAAAAAAGTTAAAAAGACGACGTTTTCGAATATATTTCGACTTCTCGTCGGAATTCGAGAGATAGAACGATCGAGTTTGAT